TCAAAGCTTCAAACTTACATACGAAGCCACGGCACGCCGCACACTACGTCACTAAAGTGGTCCTTATCTACAGAAAGCATGGTTGCCACATGAAACCACTTATCGCTGTTATTCCTTTAAGAGGAGCGAAAATGAAAAGTAGTTTTTATTTCCTTGCATAAGGCTTACTATATCGTTTGGTTTTAAATATATATATGTGTGTGTGTGTGTGTGCATATGTATATATTCCGATTTGATTACATCGACTACATTTTCTAATTTCAATTACCTAACCTTACTTTTCTTATATATTTTTACGCTTAAAATAATAACAGTATAGTAAAGAACTTAATTCAACATACTTCAGATTAGTAGTAATAAATATATACTGAATATCTGGCTGATGCTGGTTTGCTTTCTGAAGAATATATATTTTATTAAATATTTTCTTCCTTAACAAAGAGATTTATTTATGTAACGCATAATTAAGCAAGTTTACAGTTGATTAAAACTCCTTAAATTAATTTTAATCAAATTTTAACGGCATTTTCTGTTTCTCGTAAATACAAATTTACACATAATTGTTTAGTCATTTTCCGCTTTTTTTCACTTCAGTGTAAGACTGAATTTCTTAACAGATGAGAAACCTGGAGAATGATTTGAAAAATACTATTTTTTAGCATCTATCAATATTTATTCATTGGTAGTTTTAAAATACGGTAGCAAAACATTTCATATATTTAGACTTTTTAAATTATATTATTATTTTAGAATACAAAACTGCATCTTTCCCAATAATAAAAAAAAAGAAAAATTGTAAAAATTCAACAAACTTGACACTTGCTAGGAATTCAAAATTCTTATGTTTCATTCTTATTGTTTCTTAAACTTGTTTGTAACATCCCTTTTGTCTAATTATGTGCATATAATTTTTTTGTAACTTGTAAATTTTTGTTCCTGAAAGCATTTCATTGTAACTTATTTGAGAATTTTTTAGCAAATGATAAATATGAAGTTTATATATGTACTTACTGGAATTTTTATCAGAGTAATCAGTAGAAACTTTTAAAACATCTAAATAGATCAAATGTCCTCAATTCTTAGAATTGTAAGGAATAACAAGTTTTATGTATTTTCCTATTAGAAAAGAAAATAAATATAGCCTGATTGTTAAGATGTTGTAGAGTAAGATTTAAAATTTTCAAAATAATTCAGATTTTTATTAAAGGAAAGCAGCACAATTAGGGTGCAAAACATATAAAGGATTTTTTTTTTTGGAGTAAGATTTAAAATTTTCAAAATAATTCAGATTTTTATTAAAGGAAAGCAGCACAATTAGGGTGCAAAACATATAAAAAGGATTTTTTTTTTTTTTTTTTGGCCTGAATGTTTTGTACTAGTAAATTTATAACTGGAAGTAATAGGAAATGACATTACATACTACAGTGGGAAAAAGGGTGGGATGGCTATTTATTTATGTAACTTGATGCTACTTATTTTTTATTACAGTTAAGTCTCTTTAATATCAAAATAGTTTAGTATAACTACATGAAGCCTTACAGCTGGGAAGGATTAAAAATATTTTCCTTTGCATGTTGCAACACAGCATTTATGTGGCATAATAAAAAATAAATAAAGTAATTTAAATGAAAAATGTTCTATTACAGCACACTACACTTTCAAACAACAGTCAGTTCACTACGCTACGACACCGAAGAATATTCTTTCGCCACGAGGAAGGTGGTAGGAATGACGACTTAGATGACGTCAGACCATTCAAGCAACCCTAGAGGCTTGGCTTCATATGTAGGAGGTACTGCCTTTACGGCTGAGAATATGCTTGTGCGCGTGCGCAAAATACGTTTACGAGTGCACGTTTAATGTATAACGGACGGTATAAGCTAGGCTAAAATTATTTAATTATCTGTTTCAGTTGCTGTTGCAGCTTGCGTTGTTCCTTAATCTTCGAATTGGATCCGGCTTATTTATTTTTTGCAGACTGTTAGAGCAATTTTATAAAAGTAAGCTTGAACTTTCGATTATGCCAAATAGAATTTCTGATATATATTTATTAATATGTAAATGATCTACAAAGCGAAAGTTTGTTTCGAAGTTCATTAAACAAAAAGTGGAATTGCTACAAAAAATGGATAAAGGCATATCCTTTGTTTATCTAAATTTTGTTTAACTTTAACGCCGCGCAATGAATTGGAAGTTGATCTGTCAACACTATCCTTATCTTCAGGGCAGATGTTTTTATTTTATTTGGCTTATAATTCCTTATTAAATGTAGTATTTCATCTCGATGTACTCCATCTTTGATATAATTTAAATCAAATTCCTCGTCATTATAATTCGCTTCCGATAGCGAAGAAAGTAACAGAGGTTATTGAAAACGAAAAAATTTCAATTGACAAATTAGTCGGTATTCTCGACACAGCAATTATAGGACTTGAACAGCGGAACTTTGTAACTGAACAAGAAATTATGTCTGTTTAAAGAATTAAAGAGAATGTATTATCACATAAAAAACGAAGCAACTTAAACAACTTACACTGAAAGAAATGTTTAATAAAGTAAAGAAATAAATATTAAGCTTTTTTTTTTTTTTTTTTTTTTTTGGTAAATTTTGATACCCTTTAGATCATAATTGTTCTTTATTTCATAAATTACGGTTTCCATATTTTTAATTTTATAATTTCTGCATGCCATCTTACCAAATTTAAACTGATGATCTATAATCCGGAAAAATCGATAATCCGGAATCGCCGAAGTCCCGACGCGTCCGGATTAACGACTTTTGACTGTATTTCATACTGAGTTTCTGTATTTTGAATTAATATATGTATTTTATAGAAAGAAAATTAACTAGTAAGAAATCAAAATATACCGATCTGCAATAGATAACAAATACTGAATGAAGGAATATTCGACTTCTAACCAATTACTAATTTTATTTAATGCTGCAATAGCTTCTAAATTATTGTAAAATATGACCTAATGATGTAAGTAAGAAAATATTAATATTTTATTAGTTAATTAGTTAGTAATAAAATATTTTATGAGAGATGACTTTTTATTAACTTAGAAACTTTACTGATTGCTTGGTTACCTATAACACTGTTATACATCTACTACTGTTTAATTTGTATATAATGTACTAATAATAATGTTATTCAAACATTCCATGACTTGATCAAAAATTCAGGTGTTGTTACAAACAACCAAAATACACTAAAAATTTCAATGGTATGCTTAGTGTTTCTACCAACACCTCATATTCTATCTCTTTGGGCATGAAGCAACATCAGATTATATTAATGTTATAACGAACATTCTTCATTATAGATAATGAAAAACTTTTGAAATGAATATTTAGAATCTTTATCATCCATGTATCTTCTCGCAAATCCAAAATTTGTTAGTTTACCATCTGTTAAAATTATGCTTATATATAAGTTAAATTGAATTAAGCTGTTATAAAGAGAATCAACAACTAAAATAAATAAATAAATAAAAATTGAAAGGGCCCTTTTAAAATTTAATATGGTTTATCAGTAAAGATTATCAATAGACATGGCCCACGTGGGATAGCAAAACATTTGATAGGATATCTGAAAATACATTTAGACTAAAATGGGAATGTTATATATCTTCGATATGAAAAAAAAAAAAAAAAAAAAAAAAAAAAAAAAACTTCTTTACAAATATTTAATATTTTAATTAGATATATAATGAATTAAATACATTTTCATATAAATCAAACAAATTAGAATAAAAAATAATACTTTTAAAATTGCATCTATTGTTTTTAAATAGTTTAATTTGCTAATAGGTTTGGTTAGTGTCATTATGGTAAAGTCTTGATGGCTATCTACCTAAGTGGAGGGATGCCTCCATGGAAGACTTTCTAAGAGAAACTGGCTCGTATACACATTATGCATGGCAAAACCACAAAAATGCCCACGCAGCCATTCCACTCGCGGAATTTGAACCTTGGACCGAACTACCAGTTTCCAGCGACTTTACTGCTCGGCCACTGGTGAGCTTTAGTTTGTTAATCGCAGACAGATTAAATATGAAAGAATAATATTTTACATTTTTTTAATGGCAACACACTCGAATGAAACAACCCAAAATCATGTTTTGAGAGCTTTTTTTTTTTTTTTTTTTTAAAAGAGCTGTAAAATTCCACACAAATGCAATAATAATAAATAAAATAATACAAACATGGAAATATTATGCAGCTCTGGTTATTTGTAATTAGTATAATTTTCATGCCCTTCATGGGTGACAAAACTCAAAATATAAAATTTCAAAAACTTGAATTTAACTATTATTCTCGGTTCGTATAAAGCTAATATAAATTTAATTAAGAAACTTGTCTCCTGCCTGCTCAAGAATTATTCACGTATGCAAATTAATTTGGTCTTAGAAATTCCTTAAAAACATTTTTGACATTAATTTTTTGGAATTATATATTTTTTCATGGTTTTAGATATGCGCACTTAATTTACATATGCTCTTAGAATTTAAATGATATTGTAAATTAGTTCGCAACAATGATTAATTTTTTTTTTGCAATTAAAATTTCTTAATTAAATTTTAAATTCATATTAGCTTTATACGAATAGAGAGCTAAAGTGCAGAATCGCCCACTTATTTGATTGGCGTTTGTTTGGCGCTTTTTACAAGAGTAAGAAGAATTGGATTTTCTCAATTTTCTTTCACTTTATAAGTTAAAATAGGTTGATGTGTACATGGATAAAGTCAGAGAGTGAGTGTGCAATGCCATTTTTGTGCAATTCTGGGATGTTTTTTCAAATGAAAATAGGTCGATGTGTACATGGATACCAAGTATGTGCAATTCTTAAAAACGCGCCAAGCAGTGGGCAATTCTGCTGCACTTTTCCCGAATAGAGAGTATTTATTAAATTCAAATTTCATTCCCTTCAGCAATGGCCCAAGAGAATTATTTAAAAATTTAACTTTACTATATTCTTATGAAACAAATTTCAAAAAAGGGTTTAGTTTGACATTTTAATAGCCTTTGAAAAAATTACATACAATAAAAATATATAGTTTTCTCACATATAATATAAAGAATAAGATCTCATCAAAAACATTTTACTCAAATTTTGCTAAATTTATGATCACACTAAAGATCCATATTAAAATGTACTATTTTTTGCACTCAGTAACCACACTTCATTATACAATGAATATACTAAAAGGAACTAATGAATAAATATACTACAAGGCACAAGAAGGCCTATTTTATATGTTAAAAAAGAATTCATAATTTTACATGCATCTTTACACCACAATTCATGCTTCAGATGAAAAATTATCACTCAGTATATCACTTACAAAATACAAAAACACAAATTCTTTTTATGCTCATGCTCTGACTTTAAAAATATAGATAAATTAATTTTACGTATTACATTATATTTATCCCCAAATGCAGAAAAGATAAAAATTCAATATATGTCAAACATTAGACATCTCAAACAATCACATTAAAAGAAATTTAGAGGACAGTGTAGAAGTGAAGATACAATTTTTTTGTACTTTTCTGTTATGCATTTGCCACGGTTTCTGGCACCTGTGAAAGAGAAGCACAACACATGCAGCAATCATCTGTAAAAACATCTGGAGATTATATGTAAACAAGAATTAAACACACACATATTATCACAAAAATAACATGAAATTGTGTGGCAGGTAGATAACAGAAAAGTATCAGATTTTATTATAAATTAAATTTTATTTCTTACCTCTCATGAAAGACAATTTTTAAAAAATATATAATCTTTACAATATACATTTATTTATTTCATCTCATTCTTGTTTAAATACTGCAATGTTATTATGGATAAATATAATACTCGACTACATTAAAAATGTTAGCTATTTATGTTTTATAAAATAAGTGCTTAGGACAGACATAAAGTTAGCAATACAAAACAAATGCAACATTAGAATTTAATTAAACTTTCACTTTTCTTAAAGGTTTTGATACAACTCAGCTAGTGATATGATATGAGCTAATAAAGTACATATTTTGAAATCAGCAACACTGTAACAAACACATATTTTTATTACACACAGTATTAATTAAATTTCTTATTACATACATATTCCTTAATAGGCATTAGTGTGTCATTATGAATATAAGCATCACATCCATAGCACCAAACAGATATATCTGAATAACTAAGAGTGAGATAATGCTGCATATCCATACCATGTTGAAGCATATGTTGATTGATAAACCTTCCACAGTATACTTGATAACAATGGAGACAAACCCAGTTTTCATTTGGATCATTACATGCTTGACAAATAGCAAAGGGATTTAAGCCCTCGGTTGGAATTGGCTGGAGAAATTCTAAATGAGGACAATATTCCAAAGGTGTGACACAATAGTATGTCATTTCATTAGATATACCTTCAGCTCCTTCACAATCTAATATTTCAGCGCATTCCAGTTCATCTTCTCGTCTAGGTATAGCAACAGGATCACTCGTTCGTAAAGGTTTGTTACCCAATACTTCACTTGGAATATCACATAAAATATTTGGGCTTATTACATCAGGTACTTCCACATCAAATTCTAAACATTTCCAGTATTTCTTGTGAACTTTTATAACATTTTGTATTGTTCTAATAGCATTCAGTGTTGGTTTTGCAGGTGGCAAGGACATGGGAATTTCTCCAAGTAATGAACTGACACAATGGAAAACTGCTTCTGAAGTGTTTTCTACATTATAACCTCCTTCCAAAGCTAAAACAATTTTACCACCACTTAAACTGCTCAAAAGTTTTGTCATAACACCAAAGCAAGGTGGTGTAACATAACAACCCCCAAGAGGATCATCCTGAACTGCATCAAACCCAGCAGATACAAGCACAAAATCAGGACAAAATTCATAGGCAATAGGCAGTATTACATGAAAAAAAGCTGATAAATAATCACCATTACCTGTAACACAACTGAATGGTATATTAATGTTATATCCTTCCCCTTCACCACTGCCAACAGCAGCAAAATCAGCTTCTGGTGAAGCAGGAAAAAAATCTCCATCATATAAATGCAGAGATATATACAAGACATTTTTATTATCATAAAAAATTCGCTGAGTTCCATTCCCATGATGGATATCCCAATCTACAATTAGGATTCTCTGCATATTGTATTGGGTTAAAAGATATTTAGCTGCAATGGCAACAGAGTTGAATATACAGAACCCGCTTGCATTCTGAGCATCAGCATGATGCCCTGGTGGACGGATTAATGCAAATCCATTTTGACATATTCTCTTTGCTACAGCATCAACAGTTTGCAACAAATTACCACATGCAGCAACTGCTGCATCATAGGTTTCTTGACAGATATAAACAGAATCATATTCATTTTCTAACTTTGCAATATCTCGATATGACATTGTAGATGTTGATTTTATGCTGTTGATGTATGTAGGATCATGAACCAAAGCTAATTCTGCTTCATTACCATCACGGGGCTCTAAAAGCAAACACTTATTAATAAGACCATGACTCAGCAATTTGTTATAAATTTTAATCACACGTTCAGCTTTCTCAGGATGATTCTTTTCTCTTTTATTTACATGTTGTGTCATCTTTGGATCAAATATTAAGCACGTACGATGAACTGGCACAGATAAATCAGTATTTCGGATCAGATGCTCAACCTCCGATTCTAAAATTTTAACAATATGAGGATCTCTCACTGGATAACAGTCCCGAGTTGGAAATACAGTTAATCCTTTAAGAGGATTGCCAGCATATTTAGGGCAAACAACATGTTTTACAACATCATCATCATCATCGTAAACATCATAAGCATTCTGAAATCTGATACTTTCCCAAAATGGCCGATGCACTGATATCACATCTAATATTGTCTCTACTGCACTTTTATTTATTTTAGAACAGGGAGAAATAATTGGGCATGGACTTCCAATAAGAGCTCTAAGAGTTAAAGCAACACCTTCAGACAAAGATGGCAGAAAATAGCCACCTTCAAGAATAACACAGATACGACCATTTGCAAGACTAGATATGGAATTATAAAAATGTGGATAAGTCTGAGGAGTCACTTTCATCTCTCCTTCAGGACAACCAACTGCAGCATCATAACCAGCAGACACTAAAACTAATTCTGGACAAAACTCGTATGCAATAGGTAATAAAATATTATTGAATATAGCAAGATATTCTGTACTACCAAGTTCAGTAGCATTCAAAGGTACATTAATATTAAATCCTCGTGCTAAATTACCACCAATAAAGTCAAAATTTGATTCCCTTAAATGAGGCCAGAATTCTCCATGCTGGTATCTGTGAATTGAAAAATACAAAACTCTAGGATCATCATAAAAATATTGTTGAGTTGCTTGGCCATGATGTACATCCCAATCAATGATTAATATTTTTTTTAAATTAAATTTACTAAGTGCATACTTTGCAGCTATAGCTACATTATTAAAATAACAGTATCCACATGCTTCTTGTACCATAGCATGATGGCCAGGAGGTCTAACAATTGCTAAGCCATTTGCTACAATTCCTTTTAATACAGCAGTGACCAATTCAAGGGTGCATCCTGCAGCCAATAATGCAGCTTCGTAAGTTTTAGGATGGAAATAAATAGAATCAAACTTAGATGACAGTTCCTCGAGTTCGGCTATACTGTTAACACACTTTGAATTTTTTATCAAATCTGTGTATTCCTTACTGTGTCCAAATAATAGTTCCTCTTCAGTAGCAAATCTAGGAGATATAATCAGACACTTACTAATTAGATTATATTCTTCACAGCGTTTAAGAGCATGTAAGTAACGTTGTGGATTTTCGGGGTGATTCGGATCCCATAAACAGCAATGTTCAGACATCCGATTATCGAATATAAGTCCAGTTCTTGGTTTAATTTCTGTACTGCTTTCAACGGAAAGCTTCGATAAAGCGTCAGATATGTCAGACATATTTTTGTGTTTAAATAACATATAAATGAAATCGAAATCTATTCGTTCTTGCGAATCAAATAAAATACACACTGCAGATGAGTCATAATACAATATTTAAGGTTAATGAAGTTAGCTTTTTAATATTTCTTTTTAATTCAACATTTCAGTCAGATTCCCTTACAGAAAATATTAATCACCCTATTATAAAACTGATATCGCGATTATCAACTTTAAGCTAAAACTTTATGGAAATCACACAGTTCAGTTCAGTTCAAAGTATAATCAATATCTGTCATCGTACTTTGTTCGCCCTCTAACGCAATTTCTGACATCTGCAGGTAATACAGTAGACGCAAATGTATTAACTGATACGATGCTTTTAAATAATTAATAATAAAATTTTTAATAGTTGAAGAATGCAAAAAGCAAAATTTATACTTCTGTCATTTTCTGAGAGTTAGCAAAAAGATGCATAAATGATTAACTTTTTAGTCAGGACCGTATAAAAAAAAATAATAAAAGGTCGCGCTAAGCTATTAACAGAATTTTCTGCCCCTACATACATTTATGCCTCCTTTTTCCCCCATATTTTCCCTCTCTCGACCTTGGTTTAGCTGCATAGGAGAGCTGCATAGGAATTAAAAACTAGCTGCCCATTTAAATTCATCTTGAATTTCTTGGCAACATACAGAAGATTAAATCAAATTGTGTGACGGAATTCTAAAGGTGAAAACTGTCATTCTATATAAAAAATTGTCTTTTCAGAAACATCTCAGAAAAACTGTGAAAAAAATTAATATCACGCTTGCAACTATGCACCCACTTCTTGGCAGAAGTCATATGCCCGATTCAAATAAACTCCTCTTATATAATCTATACTTCTACTAACATTACTCTATGCTAGTTCTGTCTGGGGTAACGCTGCCAAAACTCACCTTCAACACATACAAGTTCTTCAAAACAAAGCACTTATCTTACAAACTTACAAAGAGACATTATCTTAGACTTAAAAAAAGCACTTAGATTATCAACGCGCCATGGTTCATTCCAAATTCGTATATCCACCGTGATCACAAAGTAGACACAATTCAAGATTATATTGTAAAACTTGCCAGAAATTTCTTCTATTCAGTTCTCACTCATCCTAACAACTGTGTCAACTCTCTTAGATGTTCTCCATTTCCTAGCGAAAAACACAAATATCCATCTGTCATTCTCTATTCTTAACATTTTTTACTCATACTAGACTATTTTTAGTTCATACTACTCATTCTGTTTTACCGATGGCCTTGACCAGGTGCACAGTAAAGGGAGACACTGTTTTCTAAAACTTACTTTAACACTATATGTTCTTACTAGTAGTAATAGTTCTTGAGTTTATCGTCTATAAGTTGACTTTTCTAAAAGCGGCTAACGATATTTTTAAAAGCGGCTATCAATAAAAGCAAGGCGTTTACTAATCGCGCATAGGCGATCAGGCTTGGACATATATAGATCTGAATGAAATAAAACTCTGATACTTGGAACCAGTGAGTGTGATTTCTATTTTATGAAAATACATCATCCTCACATGCATTCCATGGTAAAGCGGCCAAAGGAAATTTTTGGGCTGCTCCTTTTCCTTGATGCCCTAAGGCCTAAGCACGTACTTATTTTGTTTAATGGTTAATCCAACTCCACATTTATTCGGAATTCGGAAGAATGAATTTTTCTTTATTTCTTGATTCACTTGCCTTATTTTTTGGCCATATAAAACTTTTTTTTTTTAAATCTCTCAGTATGAGTGTTTGAGAAATTTTAAATGAGCTAAGCGTCATCAACGGAATCAGAAAAAGACTTGAGTGAAATAATGGTGAATGTAGAAAGGTCTGTAGCGATCACATGGTGGTATGCTTGCTTAGTGTTACCCATTATGTAGTTGCTTGCTCGTGCCTCATCTATTAACATTGATGAGAAGTGCAGCAGCGCATGAGTTACGTAACCCTTTGAAGATTATATCCTGAGGATCATATCCTGAGTATGTTCCGTGGCAGTCCAATGCCGTATCCATATCGCAAATGAGCTCTACAACGGTAGATTTCAATATTCGAACTGCAAGTGCTAAGTAGTGGGAACGTTTTGACTGGCTCTCGATATCTCCCGAGAAGTTAAATCGAGTCAAATTTGTGTAGTATCCGGATGCACCTTATAAGTTGTTAATTCCTCTTTATGCCATTTTTTATACCCGCAAGTGATGGAGAGATTGTTATACGCTGAAATGATGCTTTCTGCTTAAATTCATGTTTAATAAAAGTATTTATTTAGAACCTTCACAGGACTTTGTCCTATTTACATAGACGGAACGGTAACGCTTTCGACAGTCTAATAGGATATGGAGGACTTAACACACTTAAAACCTTAATAAAACTATGCATGGACATTGCACATAAGAACTAATTTTAACTTGAACACCATATAATCATCCAATATATTATTTAAGTTAAAAAAATTAACACGTTTTAGGACCACTTAATCTAAAAGGTAAGAAATTCAAACTAGCATTATTTTAATTAAATACTTCATCCGATTAATTCGATTAATTCGATTATATATGACATTTAATTCAGAATAACTCTCAAATATGATGGGTAAATAAAATATATTTCGCAAAGTGTAATTCATATTTTTCTTCCTTAGTAACTTGTGTTCTTACTGTTAAAGAAAAGAAAGAGTAAGAAGAGACACAGTATGACAGCATGGAACGACTTGTGCGAGAAAATTAGAAATTTGTATACCTTTAGACTCAACAATGAAAGTTTTTTTACTGATCTTTTTGAAGAATTTTTCTTAGCAAAGTTTATTATCAATATTATAGCAAAGTTTATTATCTTAGCAAAGTTAAAGGCAATTTTTTTTATGCTTTATAGAAAATGGTTGTTGTATGCAGCGCCGGCGCAAGGTTTGTAAGGTCCCTCACTTGAAATTCTAAGTTAATGTTTGAAAGTGAGGAACCTAGGAACTGATAAGCGAATAATCGCTAGAGTTCGAAGACAGGAAACAACAAGAGAGAAGGGTAAATAACCCTTTATTATTTCTATAAGATTTCACAACTCCGCCTGGGAGTGACCTTATAAAAATAAAATAAGACCTTATAAAAATAAAATAAAGTCCGCACTTTGGACTTGAACTTAAAAAACTAAGAATTAAACTAAAACTAAGATTAACTAACTAAGTATAGCCAAAGTTATCAAGGTACAATGAGAGTTGGCCCCTTAACCTATTTTACTACGGAGCTTAGCAAGGGCCGAGCGTTACAGCTAGTTAGTTATACGGCCGAGCGTATAACAGCTTTGAGAGAGAGAGCGGCCAAAAAGGCAGACGCGCGTAGTTCAGAAACTCTGTTTCTCTCTCTGTCTTGGTAAGTAACTTCGTGGTTTAAATACCGCTCCTTCTCATTAAATATTCAGCAAATTCCAAAACTACGTTCTGGCCGGAAGTATTAAGTTAAGAATTTGACAGGAAACGAACTTTAACTTAAAATTTAACTGTTAATAAAATTAACATAATCCTTACATAGCTTCCGACCAGACTTTAAATACACGAAAAATAACGTCTCAAAACGACCTTGTTTAAGACTTTAATGTCTGAAAAATTATATTAACTACACTCTTCCAACTTTTACATTAACTAAATGACTTTAAAGTTTCGTTTTTAGGGCCAACTTTACAACAATTCTAAAAGCTAGACTAAAGCTGGGAAAAATAAAAATTTACAATGAATTCTTTCTGGACATTATATCTTGACATAAATCTTCTTCCTACATACTCTTTATTCAGCTAGACTTATTTCAGATCTTGATCCTTCCATATCTGGAAGGAAATGTCATTAGTAATGCATTTTTACAAAACTTGACTTTAAATCCTAGCTTTACACTTTTAATTAATTATTTGGCCCTTATGCACTTTCATTCATCTACAGATTTATTTCACCCATGCTCTCCAGCAAATGTACTGAAATGTACTTAGGGTCTTCTATGTTGTGTTACCGCGAACAAACTACCGCTACACAACACCTAACTTTGTTAAAATTTGACACACTAGACCTGCCAAGACTCCCTACACGAAAACTGTTTCCTATTGTAGTAAGCAAAAGCTTATATTTTACTTTTAAACGTGTTAACTGGAGAGCCTAACATTAAACACATATATATCAATATTGCATTCTTACGTACTCCCATACACAGAAATAAAAATTTATTTTCTATGTCCTTTTAATCTTTACGATATTTCCACACAAAGATCAAGCATTTCTACATGAACATGAACATTTAAATATTTACACATTACTTTTGAATTCATTTTACATCAACAGTCATAGTTGCTTAATTACACTTTACCAAAATTTACACGAAATCTTAACTTTACGTTAACATATTATAGTATTCCAATAGTCTTATGGTGATTTCCTGTTATGTTTTTACCACCAAGTTCTCGAATTCCATATCACAGATTTTGTTCTTACTGCATTGATATAAATATTAACAAGACATAGTGCACAATAAAAATTAAGCTTATTTCGGAACTTCGCGCACACTGCCCGACAGCCTGCCTGTTTCGCTCTGCTCGCTACTCGTAAGAAACTTCTCCTCTAGGGTTGCCACACTTATCGGAGGGCGTAAGGCGCGCTCCTTATCGCCATCACCACAGAGTTTCCCCCCAGTTCCTTTAATGGCTATTCAAAGGAGCGACATAGGTTATGAAATTATCTCAGAGGATCCGTACTGTCGGGTATTTTTTACATGATTACAAAATTAGAATATAAAATTAGAAAAGATCAAAATGCAATTCAATATATAACAACACATATAATAAACATGAAATAACAAGAAATATGTTAAGATATGAATTTTAAAAAAATGTTTTAAATTGTTATGTAAGAAGCAAGTTTCTTAGGGAAGGGAACATGTCTTCCCGTCATTAGTAATGCATTTTTAGAAAACTTGACTTTAAATCCTAGCTTTACACTTTTAATTCATTATTTGGCCCTTATGCACTTTCATTCATCTACAGATTTATTTCACCCATGCTCTCCAGCAAATGTACTGAAATGTACTTAGGGTCTTCTATGTTGTGTGTTCTATGAAATGTACTTAGGGTCTTCTATCTGGTGACAGTTTGTATCTTAGAGAGTTCGTTTGCAGATTTATTCTGCTGAACTGTCTTTAAGTCTTTATTTGTTTTCAGTTCAGGCAAATTAGAATCCGAAAGCAAATAGGCTGGTTTCACACGGTCTATAGAC